TGTGTACACATAGCACCACTCTTAGTAAATTATCAGTATTCATCCACATAAGATTCATATACTTCCGTGTTTCTCCTATAGACGGCTTTATGCTTCTTCTAGAATTGTTGGCACTAGTATGATTATCTTGTGCAGTCTTCCTTACACCTTGACAGTTCTCCTACAAATTGTAACAATGAAAAAATATGCACAAAAACTGCACAAATTATGAACACGTGCTAATTTTTTTTTTTGCTCAGGAAACCTGGTGATGAGAATTTGTTATTGAACAAGTGCTCATCAAGTTCACCTGGACGTCTCGTTTTGGAGTATTTGGAATGAGAAAAGCCATGGTTTTGCAAACCATTGAGTGAGCAGGTAGATCTACTTGGAGTTCAAGATATTGAATTAACATTTGTCCGTGTGTTTTATGTCCCGTAAAAGGATGGTTGAATTTCATCCCTTTAAATGCAGCTCGAAGAACTCATGTCCTAGTTTGATCTCAAATGGTGCAGGAGTCGTGATCTCCTTCCAGCTAGCTGGATTTCTGTGGCTTGGTATGCATTTTTACATGCGAATTTACACCATATGCATATATTTTGATTAGAATGTTCAAGACTCTTGCGTTATCTTCTCTTTTGATAAACAAATCTGGTGCAGGTATCCAATTTATAGAATACCTGTTGGCCTGATGCTACGGGATCTGGATGCATCCTTTTTGACCTTTTGTTCCCTTACAATGCAAGCTGTGAATTCTAGCAAGGACTGTAGCATTGTTGATTCATCTTCGAAGATTTCCTTGCCAGTCTTCGACCCTGCTTCATTCAAGTTAAGAGATTCAGTTTTAAGTCCTCCTGAACCACACGAATGCGAGCAAGAAAGTTTTGTTTTGGCAAGCTGTTGAATGTTGGCTTCAGCATTCGCATGTTGGTCTCCCTGACTTCCAATTTTACCAGCTCGCTGTTGTGATTCTCCGATCACGAAAGAGGAGTTATAAGAGGAAAAACTATTCTATTTCTTACTTGAATTGAATTTTACAAGAGAATTTACAAACTCTTATCAAAAAACCTCTCAAACTCTCTCTACTATCTCTATTGCTTTCCTTACTTGGGTGTGTCAAATCAAATGA